CCGTGAGTACAATGTCATCGACATACAGCAGAAGGTAGGCGCATGAACTGTTGCGACAGTCGCGTGAACTGTTGCGACAGTCGCGGGAACTGTTGCGGCAGTACACAAAGAGTGAAGTGTCGGACTTGCATTCTCTGAACCCCATGCTAGTAATGTGAGATGCAAAACGCTTGTACCAAGCACGTGGTGCCTGCTTGAGGCCGTAGAGTGCTTTGTTGAGACGACACACGTGAGTGGGGCGAGATGGATCGACGAATCCGGGAGGTTGCTCGCAGTAGACAGTTTCAGAGAGATTGTCATGTAAGAAGGCATTTTTCACGTCAAGTTGGTGGATAGGCCATGATCGCGAGAGAGCAATACTGAGAACTGTTCGAACAGTTGCTGGTTTGACCACCAGACTGAATGTTTCATCGAAATCAATGCCAGGGCGTTGATCAAAACCGCGAACAACCCATCGTGCTTTATACCGTTCCAATGAACCATCAGCCTTCAATTTCTGCTTATATAACCACTTGCCACTGATAACATTAGTAGAGGGGGGGCGGGGCACAATATCCCATGTGTTATTTTTAATCAAAGCAGTATATTCCTCAAGCATGGCCATACGCCAGTTTGGATCAAGGAGGGCATGGCGATATGTAGTGGGAGTTTGGGATGCGGTAGACACGGTAAGAGAAAAGGGGATTTTGGGCTTGTGAATACCGGCCTTGCTGCGTGTCAACATAGGATGGTTGGGTGGGGGTGAGGAAGCGGGAGTGGGAGGCTGTGATTTTGCTGGGTGTGGAGATGCAGTCGGGTGGAGGGGCATGGGTGTAGTTGAGGGAGGACTGTCGGACGAACTGTTGGGACAGTTGGTTGTAACCGTAGGTGGTTGTGTATCGTTGTTGGACGAACTGTTGGGACATTTGTGTGAGACAGTTGGTTGGACTTGTGTAGGCTGAGGAAGGAAGAGAAGTGGGTGCAGGGGTTCGGTCATATTAGAGGTGGGGGAGTTGTGGGGTGAGTCGGTGGGTTCAGCGAATGGAAAACGGCTTTCATCAAAGGTCACATGGCGGGAGATAATGATTCGACCGGTTGACCGATCGAGGCAACGATAGCCTTTGTGCGATGAGGGGTGACCAAGGTAGACACAAGGAGTAGAGCGAGGGGCGAGTTTGTGAGGGGTGGTGGCGGTTAGATTGGGATAACAGAGACAACCGAAGACACGAAGGTGAGAGTATGTGGGTTTTGATTTGTATAGGGATTCATGTGGTGTGCGATTTTGTGTGGATTTGGTAGGAAGGATGTTGATGAGGTGTGTAGCCATATGAAGGGCTTCGACCCAATAGGTGGGGGGAAGGGAAGCTTGAAAGAGAAGTGAGCGGATCATGTTTGTGATGGTGCGGATCATGCGTTCGGCATGTCCGTTTTGAGGGGAAGAGTGGGGACATGAGAAACGGTGTAAGATACCGTGTTTGGCAAAATATGTTTGAAAATCTGTATTTTTTAATTCACGTCCATTATCGCATTGTAAAGCTTTAATGGGGTGCTGAAATTGTGTTTGTATAAGTTTGTGAAACTGTTGGAACAGTGAGAAAACATCGGATTTATAGTGTATGGGGAAAGTCCATGTATAGTGGGTGAAATCATCTATTAGTACGAGGTAATATTTGAAACCAGAAATACTAGAAATAGGAGAGGTCCATAGATCAGCATGAATAATTTCAAAAGGTGCAACGGTAATAGAATGACTAGTAAAGAAAGGTAAGCGAGAATGTTTGCCTAATTGACAAGCATTACAAAGAGACTCCCGTGGGTCTTTGGTACTAGAAATTAAATTGGAAGAAAAAAGACGAGACATGACAGGGTTTCCCGGGTGACCGAGACGACGATGCCATGTAGTAGAGGAGACAGACGTGGTGTGAGCAAGGAGGGCGGTTGCGGATGGGCTGGGAGAAGGGGGGCCAATAGGGTATAAATCACCGGAGCTATTGCACCTGAGGATGAGTGTTCTGGTCCGAAGGTCCTTCACAGAAAAGCCATAAGGGTCAAATTCAACTGAACAAGAGTTATCTCTAGTGAATTTTCGGACAGACACAAGGTTCTTAATGATGTGAGGAGTAACATAGACATTGGTTAGACGAAATGGGGTAGAGGGTAGGATGGTGTGGCCAATTTTATGGATAGGAACAGTGGAGCCATTACCAACGATGACATGCTTGGGAAAATTATTACTAGGATTAAAAATAAAATGGAAATTACCTGAGTGAGGTGCCATGTGAGATGAGGCGCCCGTGTCCATAAACCACTGAGGTTCGCTCGATGACTGAAGAGTCAACGTGTTGAGATGAGTGGCAAGATCTGTTGGCTGTAGGGGACCACTGTTCGACGAACTGTTGGAACAGTTCACGTGCTGTTGGGGATCTTGCTGTCCAACGAAATAAGCATGAGCTGTAGGAGCATGATAAGGACCAGGAGAGCTTGGGGGGGGGGGGGGGGGTGTCCAAGAATCGATGAAGATGTCTGAGGCGTATAAGGGGCCCGCCAAGGTTGCGATTGGTAGTGAAATTGATTGTAACCGTAGTGTTGCATCGGATGTCGTGACTGACCACGACCGCCACGACGATTTGTGCGACCGCCACCTCGCTGATTGCGCCAAGAACCACCACCTCGATAATTGCTGGGAGTGTTGGGCCAACTGTTGGAACTGTTCGGCAAACTGTTGGAACTGTTGGGGCGAGATGCGTAGAGAACAGTAGGGGTCTGTTCCGGTTCAGCAATGCGATGTTCTTCCATCTGGAGTAGTGAACGTGTTTGGAGAAAAGATGGCAGCGGAGTTTGGAAGGAGATTAGATTGACAATGGTCCCGTAATGTTTTGGTAAGCCGTGGAGGGTTTGGAGGACGAGTTGCTTGTCTGACACGGGGTTGCCGACGTCTGCCAAGTTGTCGGCAGTGGTTTTGAGAAGTTGAAAATAATCATGGATCGAAAGAGATCCTTTCTTGAGGGACTTGAACTGTTCTTCGAGTTGGATGGCCCGATAGTCTTCGTTGTCTGTAAAAAGAGAGGCGAGGGCCTTCCACAGATCATGGGCCATTGCGGTTTTGGAGAGAACCATGCTTGAGAGGTCCTCGGTTATGGTGCCATAGATCCAAGATTGGAGGAGGTAATCCGCACGTTGCCATTCATCGGCGGAGATGTTGTCGGGCTTTTTGTTTCCGAGAAGCAGATCGGTGAGGCAGAAGCGACCTGCGGTGATGGTGAAGAAGTGGCTCCACCTTTGATAGTTCGGATTTTTAATATCCAGGGTTACAGGAATAAGGGCTTTGATGTTAGATATAGCATGAGCAAGGTGAAAAGGGTTAGAAATCATGGGCGGTGTTGGTGTTTCGGTGGCCATGGTTGAAGAGAAGAAGGCAGAACGTGAAGAAAAAAAAAATTGAAGAAGGCAGAACGAGAAAAAAAAAAATTGAAGAAGGAGAGAAACGGCGGCTAGGGTTTTTGGCTTGATACCATGATAGAAGGAGAATATTTGGAGAGAAGAGAGAATGATATCTCTTACGTATATTGAGAATATATATAGTTACATGTAGGAAACCCTAACCTACTACACAAGGTAATCCAATATACAAGGTAACCTAATGTATAAGGTAACTATAATAAATAATAATAATAATAATAATAATAATAATAATAATAATAATAATAATAATAATAATAATAATAATAATAATAATAATAATAATAATAATAATAATAATAATAATAATAATAATAATAATAATAATAATAATAATAATAATAATAATAATAATAATAATAATAATAATATACGCTAATATCCTACATTCACTGTCGTGCACGACGTTCCACTCAATAAATCATAAGGGGTTTATGTGTTGATATTACCAACACAAGGGGGTACGATCTTCTGCAAAAACGTGTAACCACGTGGAGGTTAAGTGATATTTAACCTAAAAAAAGTTGAAAAATAGATGACCGATAATAATTTCAATCGAATCATTTTTTATCCGACAAAGTTGGTTGTCAATCACTATCCGATCCATACTCGATCCAATAATAATTTTCAATATGCAGCAAAAATCGAGTGGCAGATCAAGTAAATAATTGGTCGATAATTATCAGCCGGACCCTACCCCGTCCTAGTTTTAAAAATCATATAAATATGTATTCATAGATGAATTTACATGCATAACAATTTGACATAAGGCAAATAATGAATTTCTTCTAGGAATAGTAATTGGCTCGTGCCTCAAAATGAGGCCATCCAAATTAGACACATAAATGATGCAATAGAAATAAAAAGAAATTAAAAATTAGGTCGTTTAATGATTTGTTGGTGGGGTACTCTGAAAATGAATTGGGTCCAACTCATGACTACCTATTATCTTTTTTCGTTTCCCTTTTTAATAGTAAAGAAGCTCGCAGTCGACGTAGGTACACCGAGTGAATATATATTTTTGTATAATAGCTTGCAAAGTAAACGAGAGGCATGAATTTATATACTAGATTAATTACGTGTGACAAATTTCACCTAACGACTGTTGACAAGGAAATTCGAACTTCAATCAGTTGATACAGATGCAGTTACTCCAAGTCTTCTACCATTAAATCATCTCTTTCGGGACTCATGGCCGGTAGCTATTTGATTATAGGAGGCCAGGGGTTTTTATAGTTTTTACTTTCAATTCCATTTATGAATGTTTATATTATATATATATTTACAAAGAAAGTATTTTACGTATTCGTGAGTGTCAAAGGTTAATAGAAGGGAAATAGGATTTAGGTAGAGATTTTTTTGTATAAAAAAAAATTGGGATAGAGATCACTTTATAATATAATAACATACATATATCCATTTATATAGTAACATATAATAGGAGATGAAATATTTAGAAAAAAAGTAGCCCCAAGATAGATTTATTATTATTAAATTATTATATTAAAGTGCGCGAGTGATGAACTTGACCTCTTACTACTCTAATACGGACAAGAACAACTGTATTTTTCTAGTATTCCAAAATCCAAATATTTGGCCATCTGAGATCTCATTTTCCAAGATTTCATCTTTAAATCTCAGCCCTCCATTTCACCACCTTAACCTCTATATATACTATACCCTCCCATTTTCTTGATTCTCATTATTCCACACATTTATAAAACCTCTTTATATCTATATATATATACATATACATACAACTCTCCCATCAAAGTTGCATTTAATTCAAAACTATAAACAAAAACAAATTCTCATCTTCTTCAAATCATGGGATCCTTACAAATCATGTCCAAGGATGTTAGTACTCTTTCAATCTCTATTTTCTTCACACACACACAAACACACTTTACTATGTGCAATTTTTTGCATAAGAAAATTCAAGCATCATTTTCTGTGTTTCACATGCAAATGAAACAAGACATGCAAAAAAGCATACATATATATAGATAGATACATAGATAGATACAACTCTAGTTCCATATCACAATAATCTCATATGTATGTTTTTTTTTGTTTTTCGGTTTTCAGGCTCGAAAGTCGAAGGGAGAACAAGAAGAATGCACTGGAGATGGGAGCGTTGATTTCCACGGTCGTCCTGCGATTCGACAACAAACCGGAAAATGGGGAGCTGGAACAATCATACTCTGTAAGTATCTACTGTGTGTGTGTGTTTTTGTGTGTGTTTGTTTGTATGACGTTAATAAAGAGTTGCAGATAGTATTTAGGTGTATGCTCCACTTTTTTGATTCCGAGTATTAAGGGAGAGAAATATTTGGCTTGGTGTTTTTTTTTTTTTTTTTTTTTGTATGAGTTATAAATTAATAAAATTTTTGACATACTTTGAATATGACAAAGATTTTCTGGTGTGGGCAAAACTATATAATAAAAATTAAAATATAAATAAATTTACAAGAACGATACAAAACGTACAAGTGTTTTATTCATGCAAGTACTGCCATAACACACACACACACCAAATGGTGTAATATTCTTGATCGGAATAGTATTTTTTAAAAGACTACGTAATGAATGCTAGAATTATAACATATTGTTTTTTATTTATTTTTTTTATCATGAATTAAATATATGATGTGATTTAATTTATGATTGGGATGTAAAACAAGAACATTCAATTGCAACGTTAACATATATCCCAAGGTACTATAATCATGTTCTAGAATTGTACGTGTATGTATGAGAGAGAAAGAGAGGAGCGAGAGAGAGAGGGACAATTTTGTCTCGTTTGATTTTTTCCTCTCTTAATTTATTTTTATTTTTATTATTTATTTATTTTGGTAGGCTAGCTTTTTTTCAAATTTTTCGTGCTTTAATTCTTGCTTTATTTCTTAACCACTAGAAATGGAAAACGAGACACGTTATATAATGGCTAAAACACTAATGAGTAGAAAATGATTTGTCAAGTTGATCCAATTAACACTATTATTATTTATTATTTTTATTATTATTATTGGGTTATATTTGCACAAAATGAGTGCACCCATGACTATACATATCATTATTAATTATCCTCTATGTTCTATATTATTTGTCTTTGTGGAGAATTTTTTTATCTCAAAATTATTTGTCACCTTAGAACTTTAAGAAACATTAATTGTATTTTTTTATTTTACCCCTTATCACTCTTCATTAATTAGTTGAAAAACAACTAGTAATAATGATATTTTAATATTTATCATATTGTTTTGCTATAATCTATGCATATTTATTGAATTTCTTAATATGTGCATAACCACCAAAAAACAACATATAATATGGGGTTGGGTGAGTACTTGCCAAAGCTATTGTTATTGCTTGCACAATCTTTGAACATTCCTTAGGAAAAACATAAAGAATTATATTTTAGAAAATTTAAGTCTCTCTCTCTCTAACTCACACACACACTAATTCTTGTTGATCTAATAAAAAGAGTTGGAGTTGAGTCCATTTCATCCAATTTAGTTATACCTCACTTCCTTTGCCCATCCTTATTTAATTGTCACCTTAATTTTGATTGTGAGAGCCCTCCCTATATCTATATCTATATATATATATATATATATATATATATATATATATATATATATATATATATATATATATTAATACCAATCATTTCAAGTTAGGTTTTCCATAACGAAGCCCTTTCTTTCTCCTTCTATCTTCAGTTCTATATCGGGCTCTGTTTTCGTTTCACTTTTATTCTTTCCCTTAAACAAATTTGTGTTAGTTTAGTTTACAAAAAAAATTCTTAAAACAACTTTTAAAGTTTATATCTCTTACATATATGATCACTGTAAAAAAAAATTGACTACTACTGTTAAAAATGTTTTCATTAAAAAACAAACAAACATCACTTCAGTTTTCAAATTATTCTTCTAATAAATATTTTTTTCAAACAACTTTTTGACTACTGCAGTACATATGTACCATATTTTTATGGTCACTTTCATACATAGCATAGGTGTACCAAAGTGTTTTTTTCCTAGAACTTGAATCATCAATCAAGCACCTATCTAAATATGGTCGAAATCAAATAGATACCAGTTCCAGTGCCACGACAGCTAAGCTAACATTTAATGACATGAGAAAATAAATTTGAAAAAAAAAAAAAAAAAAACTCTTATTCGAGGTACCTAAATTAAGTAGTATAAACAATTATTTAAACTTTCCTCAGAAGAAAAAAAAAACCTGCACATGAACAGTAAATGCTAATCGAAAACTTTCTCGTTTCGCTCTAATAATATTCGATGGCGATGTGCAACAACGTATTGCTAGTGCATGTGATGCACTGAATACTTAGTGGCATGTCACTATGACAATTACTTGCAAAATAAGCACAACTCTGGAGATCATTTGTAAGAATACCTAAGTTTGATATCAAATCATTAGAGAATAAACTTTTTAAGTTTTCGTGTGTGTTTTAACTTAATTCTAGAACACGTCGCTTAATTCCTAATATTTTTTTTGTTCACTTAAACTAATGTGAAATTTGAACTATTCGATTATGCAGTAAATCAAGGTCTAGCTACTCTAGCATTTTTCGGAGTCGGAATAAACTTGGTGTTGTTCCTAACAAGGGTCCTACAACAAGACAACGCCGAAGCTGCAAACAGTGTCAGCAAATGGACTGGAACGGTCTATATATTCTCTCTAGTCGGCGCTTTCCTTAGCGATTCCTATTGGGGAAGATACAAAACTTGCGCCATCTTTCAAGCCATCTTCGTCGTTGTAAGTATCCATTCACGATTTTTTTTTTTCAAAAAAACATATTATAAAAATAATTAAAAGGAAATTTAATTCCGATCGCTTTTCGTCACACAGGGTCTTGTACTGCTATCACTAGCAACGCAGATATTCTTGCTTACACCTAAAGGCTGTGGAGACGAAACGACACCATGCAAACCACATTCCAGCTGGGTGATTGGATTATTCTATGTATCTATATATATGGTTGCTTTAGGAAACGGAGGGTATCAGCCTAACATAGCTACATTTGGTGCTGACCAATTCGACGAAGAGGATTCCAAGGAGAGCCATTCCAAAGTTTCCTTCTTCAGCTATTTCTACTTGGCTTTGAATCTCGGTTCGCTCTTTTCCAATACTATATTAGGGTATTTCGAAGACGAAGGAATGTGGGCACTTGGGTTCTGGGCATCTACCGCCTCGGCGTTTTTAGCACTCGTCCTATTTTTGGGGGGTACCAAACAGTACAGGCACTTTAAGCCCTCCGGTAATCCACTTTCAAGAATTTCTCAGGTGATAGTTTCAGCATCGAAGAAGTGCAGAGTACATATTCCGCCCGGTGAGGAGGATAGTTTGTACGATGAAGACCGATGCATCGACAAATCAAACGCCGGTGCTAGAAAAATGCTCCACACACACGGGTTCAAGTAAGTAATAATAACACAGTTTCGTGTTTTTTTTTTTTTTTTTTTGAGAGGTATTGATGGGGAGTGTCGTCTCAAAATGCAGGTTTTTGGACAGAGCAGCGTACCTTACTACACAGGATATGGAGCAGCTGAAGCAAAACGAGTACAACCCATGGCGCCTGTGTCCAGTCTCCCAAGTCGAAGAGGTCAAATGCATAGCGAGGCTACTCCCCATTTGGCTCTGCACCATAATCTACTCGGTCGTCTTCACTCAAATGGCGTCGCTCTTTGTCGAGCAAGGCGATGCAATGAACACCAAGATTTCAAACTTCCGGATACCTGCGGCAAGCATGTCAAGCTTCGACATAATCAGCGTAGCCTTTTTCATATTCCTATTCCGAAGGGTACTCGACCCCTTAGTGCGTAGAGTCCGAGGCAAAGGGCTTACCGAGCTTCAAAGAATGGGGATCGGTCTGGTAATAGCAATTATAGCCATGATTTCAGCTGGAATAGTGGAGTGCTACAGGCTTAAGTACGCACAGAAGGACTGCAAACACTGCCAAGGCTCGAGTTCGCTGAGCATATTCTGGCAAGTACCGCAGTACGCTCTGATAGGTGCATCCGAGGTTTTCATGTACGTGGGCCAGTTGGAGTTTTTCAATGCACAAGCACCTGATGGACTTAAGAGCTTCGGGAGTGCACTTTGTATGACCTCGATTTCTTTGGGGAACTACGTTAGTAGCTTGCTTGTGTCGATTGTTATGAAAATATCGACGGTGGATAATATGCCAGGGTGGATACCGGGGAATCTTAACAAGGGTCATTTGGACAGATTCTATTTTCTGCTGGCGGGGTTGACGGCTATCGACTTGGTCATCTATATTGCGTGCGCTACGTGGTATAAAAGTATGAAGCTTGGAGAGAAGGGTGGAGAAAATAACAAGGACCAGGACTATGGAGTGTAGTGATTGTTATTATGTACCGAAAAAGGAATTAATAAGATGATGTTTGGATCGACTTTTAAGTGTTTGTAGAGAGAGTTTTTATGTCTGGAGAGGTCATGGTTTAAGACAGGAATTTCTTGTCCAGGAATGCTGAATGCTATTTCAGTCAAAATCTTAACTTCAGAAATGTTTGCCTAACTGAAGTTAGTTGAACATCTAAACAAGGGGGGATAGCTTTCACTGGAAGGACTTTCTTGACTTCTTTCCACCTGACTTTATTGGTTTCATTGTACTAATGGGAGATTTTATGTAAGAAAACTAATATTTTCATCCATATTTATCTATATCTATATCTATCTCTCTCTCTCTCTCTCTCTCTCTCTCTCTCTCTCTCTCTCTCTAA